GGCTTTATTGAATCTCCTTTGAAGTTCAACACATGGTTTGGCACCTTCCTCCAAGTTGATCTTGTGCATGCAAAATGCGAGACTTATCCCCCCGAAAATCCGCCAAAGTCCAACCAATAGCTTTCTTTCTCTTTTGTAGCACCGCCAATGTGGAATCTACCTGCACATTAATTAAACAAGAGGAAAGAATAACCGGTAAAGTAGAAGAAGAACCAAGAAATTCATACCGAAGATGTGGAGGCAATGGCTTCAACTCTAAAACGGGAGGCTCCTCAATTGAAGTCTTTTTTGGAGGAGTTGTTCTATTCTTGAGATCCAAGGACAATTAGCGGGGCTCATAAGTGTATGACCCTATTCCTTGCAAAGCATTCACACATTCCACATACCTCCATTTCTTGATCATCACAATTGAGCAATACGGCCTCCAAAGTATCATCAACATTCATCATGGCACTTGTTTCATCAATAATCACATCGGTCACCAAATCCACAAACGAACAAACTTCATTGCTATTTGGTTGCCTCATAGATTTGCACACATGGAAAACCACCTTTTCATCACCCACCCAGAAAGTGATCTCACCGGCTTCCACATCAACAAGAGCCTTCCCTGTAGCAAGGAAAGGTTGACCCAAAATAATCGGTACCTCATAGTCCACTTCACAATCAAGAATCACAAAGTCCACCGGTAGGATGAATTTATCAACACGAACCAACACATCATCAATAATACCCAACGGTCTCTTCATGGTATGATCCGCCATTTGCAACCTCATAAATGTGGGTCTTAGTTTCCCAATCCCCAAAGTTTTGAAAATCGAGTAGGGCATCAAGCCCCAAGATCACATAAAGCTTTAGCAAAGTTGGCACTCCCAATGGTACAAGGGAGTGTGAAAGCACTAGGATATTCCAATTTGGGAGCCATTGAGTGCACAATTGCACTCACTTGATGAGTCATCTTTATATTTTCACAATTCTTCGATCTCTTCTTTGTCACCAGGTCCTTCATCAACTTTGCATAACCCGGCATTTGCTCCAAAGCCTAAACCAATGGCACGTTTATGGATAGACTCTTCATCATGTCAATGAACTTATTTAATTGGTTCTCGCCATTTCACTTGGCAAGCTTTTGAGGGTATGGAGGAGGAGGCCTTAGTATTGCTGACTTAGCCTTTGGTACTACCGGTTTCGGTATGCCAACAGTGTGTTCCATAGACGGGTTCACTTCCTCATGAGTCTCCTCCACATTATCATCAATATCAATTCTCACCTTTGCTTGCACTTCAAATGCTTGGCATCTCATCTTCTTGTACCAATTGCTCATTATCCACAATTTTCTTTTGACTTGGGGTGGTTGCATCCCCACCTTTTCCACTCCTTGTAGTAACGGCCGCGGCATGTCCCGTGTTGTTCCCACCCTTTGGGTTCACCACCGTATCACTTGGTAGTGCCCCATTAGGATGAGTGTTCAAAGCTTGCGAGATTGGCCCTAATTGAACTTCCAAATTGCAAATTGAAGTGTTGTGAGAGGCTAGTTGAGCATCGGAGTCGGCATTCTTCTCCATCATTTGTTTAAACTCATTCTCAATTCGTCCCATCTCATTGTTAGATGAACTCGGACCTTGGGAAGGATAAGGAGGCGGGTTGCTCGGTTGTTGATACATCAGGGGCCTTTGAAAACCCAACCCCCGATTGTTATTGTTGTTCCTCCCTCATCGGTTGTTGCCTCCCTAATATTCTTGAGTATTGTCACTCCAATTGCCTTGGTTATTTTGACCATTCCAATTTCCTTGATTGTTTTGATTGTTCCAATTCCCTTGGTTGTTACCACCATTCCTATTACATTGGTTGTTTGAATTCCAATTCCCTTGATTTCCTTGGGGTCGCCATTGTTGTTGATTCGGGCCTTAATTGTTGTTTCTTTGCCCTTGGAAGTTTTCACATACTGTACTTCCTCCTCTTGTTCATTGTATTGTTCATCTTGATCAAACCCACTATCATCTTGCACATAATTTTCAACACGGTTTTGCACTTAAGAACCCTTTTTCCTTCTCTTGTTTACCATCATACTAACTCTCTCTATTGCATTGACTTGCTTAGGACCTTGTACTTGTTGAAGTTGAGCTTTGGCTAGTTAATTCATTGTGGTGGTCAACTCGGCAATTGCTTGCCTATGATCATGTAATTCTTTATGCAAGCGAATCACATTTGGATCACCTTGCAGAACGTTTGCTTTACTTTGCCATGCCGATGAAGTATCTGTCATTTCATCTAGAATCTCACAAGCTTCCGCATACGGCATTGTCATCACCGGCAAGTTGGTTGACCACGCATGGATTGGTAGTATTGATCCCCCTATAGAAGTTTGTTAAATCATAGCCTCCGTCATGTCATTGTTTGGGCACTCTTTCACCATCGTACGGTACCTCTCCCATATATCATGCAAAGGCTCATTGTGTTCTTGTTTGAAAGCTAGAATCTCATCCCTAAGAGTTTCCATATGCCCGAGAGAAAAGAACTTGGAAATAAATTTCTCGGCCAATTCATCCCATGTATGGATAGAATGATTTGGAAACCTCTCTAACCAATCCAAGGCCTTCCCCCGTTGAGAGAAAGGAAATAGCCTCAACCGTAAAGCATCATCGGAGACGTTTGTCTGTTCACTCCCCCAGCAAGTGTCAACAAACCCTTTTAAGTGTTGTACGTATTTTGATTCAGAGCCCCGGTGAAGAATCCCCGTTGTTCCAACAACGTAAGCATAACATTTGTGATTTGAAAGTTGCCCTCCCTAATGCGGGGTGGGACTATGTCACTTGCGTATCCTTCATTCGGCAACACCCGGTGTGGAGCGGCTCTTTGTGGAGGTGGGGGTGCAATGGGAACATTGTCTTGAGGCGGTCGGCCTCGTCTATTTGCTTGAGGTTCAAGAGGAACCTCTTCAACTTGATCATCTTCCACGTCCACATCGCCTAAAGGCATGTTTCCAAGAGAATCATTGTTGTTGAGAGCCATTGTTTACCTACAATTGTTTCACAAAAAGATCAGTAACTCAGAAGGAAAAGAAGACAATTCACACACAAAACCAAATACATAGCTAAATCTGTTTTTAGCTCACCGGCAACAGCGTCAATAATTGATCTCGTTCAAGTCACACCCTCTATTTGAGGTAGTGAAACGGTCGATGCAATAGTAATACCCAACAAAGTCAGGGTCGAATTCCACATGGAGCTATCAGATTGGGACTAGTGGTATATATTTGGACTAAGCACGTGAGGTATCTAAATTGCACTTCGGCAAATATGGTTGTGTTTTACTTCTAAAATTACGGTAAAGATTGCAATTCTAAAAATATAAAACTAGGAAATATTATTTTTGGTTGGTTTTCAAATATTGTAAAAAGACCTAGGGCTATGAACTTTACCTATGTGTTTGCCTAACGGGTTGTGAACTTTAAAGTTTGTTTCATTGGTCAGGTGTATTATAGCTATCAGCTCTTAATTACCCACTCAATACCTCTCGGTAAGAGAGTGATTTTACCCAATCTGGCTTTCTCAAGTCCAAATGGGTATTGAACAAATCAGTTGATAAATTGCTCAAGTCGGGTTTTACTATCTCTAGGTTCAACCCTTTAATTGGGACTATCAATCTCTTGATTTCATCCCAAATTCTTGTTAGCCAAGTTCTTCTAGACTAAGTCTCTCTTTCTCAAGTAGAGACCAAGTCAAAAAGGCATGAACCAATGTTTGCAACCATTAATTCTGCAATAAAAAACAAGAACATGGCTAAATAATCAACACCCAACCATGAACAAGCCATAAATTAAACACCCATTAGGTTTACACACTAGGGTTGGGTCACAACCCTAGTTAGAAATTTAGCTACTCATGCTTGAAATAGAAGAAACAGAAGAAGAAATGATAATTAAACTCATATTCAAAGATTAGAAGACAAAAATCTAATGTTTAATCACTAAAGTAAGCTAAAGTTTCCTAAAGCAGTAAAGAAAAATGGCTACAGATGTTTAGATATTCAAAACATGACCTAATTTCGTGAAAGAAGTCTATTTATACAAAGCTGGAATTTTCGGACAAAAATGCCCTTTCGGAGGTTCTGCGGCCGCACAATTCCATGTGCGATCCGCACTTCGTTTGAATCTTGACAGACTATGGCCGTACAATTCTGTATTGCGGCCGCATGTCACTTGTTCTATGGTCCACACAAAACTGACTGCGGCCACATAGGGCCCTTCTGCGGACCGCACAAATCTGAATGTGGCCGTATGGCTTACTTCTGCGGTCGCACAATAATTGTGCGGTCCGCATCTTGAGATAATACTTCTCTGAGCTTGAACTCTTTGGTGGCTTCTGCGACCACGCAGTAATTATGTGGTCCGCACATTATGTTAGGCCTCTGACAGACTTCACTTCACCTTCTGTGGCGGCAGAGAGAATTCTACGGTTCGCACATTGTGCTTTTTTCCTGCTTTATTTTCTTGAGTTCACTTTACTCCTTTTTGAGTTGGATTTCATCTTTGTGGCTCATTTTCCAATACTCCTGCATTTAAGCACATTTTATCAGTTTTTGAAAATACAATTAAGCACTTTTGGACTAAGACGAAAGTAAAATGATGCTAATAAGTAGTCAAAATCCAACTTATCACCAGGCAATTTGTGCCTTTTTAGTTGGGTCAACAGCTCGTGTCCATAAGAACCTCTTATAGTTTGCCTCTATAAACTGAATGATTCTCCTTGGCAAAATGATCACATGAGCCCAGAATGTTTGGATAGAAAATAAAACGCTTTATGCTAACATTGCTCTTCCAGCGTATGATAGAAACTTAGTTTTCCACCTTTGAATCCTACTTAGCATCCTGTCAATTAAAGGTTCATATTGTATAACTGTTAACCTTTTTGTGCTCAGTGGAATCCCCAGGTATTTAAAGGGTAATTCTTCTTTAGCGCATCCTAACATTTCCATAATGTGTTGCTGAGTCATGTCGCTCACTCCACCAAAGTAAAATACAACTTTTGTTTGGATTTGCAACTAAAACTGAGACTTGCAGAAAATATTTGAAATTGATGGTGGAGTATCTTCACTGACTGCAGGTCACCTCTATAAAAAAGAAGGAAATCATCAGTAAATCCCAACTGTACTAGGTTGACCTTAGCACATTTTGGATGGAATTTAAATATCTTGTTATCCTTCAGTGGCTTCAGTAACTTACGCAAATACTCCATGGCCATCACAAACCAGAATGGATATAGGGATAACCCTGCCTCAGCCCTTTTTTTTTCCTCAAATGGTACAACAGGCTTACCATTGATTACTACTGAGTAAGACACTGTACAAATACGGGCTATTATCCATTCCGCAAACAACTTAGGGAATCCTAGCAACTTCATCACCTGTTCAATATACACCCTTTCAATAGAGTCGTAGGCCTTTTGCATATCTATTTTGAGCATACATCTTGGTGAAATGCTCTTACTTCCATAACCTTTGACCAGCTCATGGCTCATGATGATATTGTTTGTGATCAGTCTTCCTTGTACAAAGTCTGTTTGGAAATTATCTATTAAATTTCCATAACATCATGCAGTATTGATGTTAGAACTTTAGAGATTATCTTGTAGAGCACTTTACAATATGAGATTGGCCTGAATTCCTTGATAGTAGTTGGGTTCATAACTTTTGGCATCATAGTAATGGTGGTGTAGTTGATGGCTTTACACATATCAGCGGAGTTAAAAAACTCTATTACTGCTGCAGTAACTTCATCACCCAAGATGTGCCATGTCTTTTGGAAGAAGAATGAATTATACCCATCACACCTTGGTGCTTTGTTGTCATTGATATCCATTATAGCCTGCTTTACTTCTTCTTTAGTAACTCGTTAGATAAGCTGCAATTGTTGATCACAATTAAGAGTATACCCATTCTACATGACATCTAGTATAACTACTAGCAATTGAGGTGCAACAGTCCCAAGTAGTCCTTTGTAGAAGCTGAATATTTCCTCTTCAATTTCAGTTGCACTTTGGAGAAATTGCCCTGCACTGTTTGTTAGCGTGCCAATGTGATTCTTTGCCTACCTATTTTCATGCAAGCATGAAAGTATGATGTGTTAGAGTCACCTAATTTAAGCCACTGTACTCTTGACTTCCTCTTCAAGACACATTTCTCGACCATCAACCAGTTTTTCAATTCCAGTTTTGCAGCGTTCTCTTGTAATATCGCCTCTGAATCATGTCCTGGGTAGTCATATGAGCTTGGATGCTTCCCAGTTTGTCCCTTACCACTTTAATCTTATTCCCTATACCACTAAACTCTTGCTTGTTAAGTTATTTTATGGCTCTTTTTAGCACTTCGAGTTTTTCCACACACTTAACATAATTGGTCCTCTCCCATTTCTTTTCCAACAATGCTTTACTGTTGCATCAAATTCCTTGTGGCTTGACGAACAATTAAGAAACTTGAAAGATTGTGTTCCCTCTTCATTTGTACAATTAAACCAAACACTTAATGGGCAATGATCTGAGAAGCCAGGAGTCATAATGATCCCCTTCATGTAAGGCCAGTTCTGTAACACTCCGAGTTTATCAAGATTCTGCCGATCCTGCTATGGATGTGGTTGTTAGTCTAGGTGAACTTCCTACCCACAATCTTTAGTTCATCAAGCCCAGTATCTAGTAAGAAGTTCTTGCAATCCCTTACCTCTATCTCCTGAACTGGATTCACATGTACCTTATCCTCACTAGATAGGATAGTGTTAAAGTCACCCATTACTAAACTTGGCCCACTGATTCCATTCATAGTCACCTTCAAATCCTCCCATAGTGTTTTCCTTTCTTTGCCCATTGCCAATTGTTTAATATCTTCTTCATTGTTTAAACTACATTGTCCTTCTTTATTCTATTTTCTATAACTGTCATAAGTACTACTCTATTCTCCCTTCAAAATTTTTTTAGTTCTTTTTGTTTATAGACTTTATTCAACCCCCTAACATTCCATGTTATGATGTTTATTATAATATAACGAATTGTTGTGAGCCTCCTCCTTTATCACTCCTACTATGCTTCCCTTTTGCACTATGGTTCTTAGATAGTTGTACTATCTTTTGTGTTATATCAACTAATGCCTTGAAAGCATTACCAATGTCTATTCCCACACTGTTCTTTGATGCAATTTTTTCCCTAGCAAGTTGCCATTGTGGGTCATTCCCCTGTTGGGGCATCAGCTCATCTCCTACAGTCTCCAGTTATTCAAGGAACCTACCTTGAGCATCAATTTTGTTCACAGCAGGGTCAAGAACCCTCACTATTCTCCGTTCATGTTTCTGCTTCAAGTCTAAACCCCTCTGTTGGCCACCCTTCTGCTTCTTCTTTTGATCTCTACACGAGTGGCCTAGCGAACAGCATGTTTGGCAATACTGTGGTTTCCAATCAAATTGCACCATCTTCTCAATCACCTTGCCTTTAGGATCATGTAGTTTGATTTTCTCCGAAAGAGGCCTAGTGATGTCCATTTCAATCAGGACCCTAGCATATGAGACTGTATTAGCAACTGTAGTACAAGCATCAACATACAAAGGCTTGCCTAAACCACTTCCAATTTTGCTTAAAGCCTGCTTGCTCCAGTAATTGAGCGGCAATTTCGGGAATTTGACCCATAGAGGAATGTTTTTCAGAACTTCCTCATTGAAATCAAAGCTTCCTCATAGTTACTTATATTTCTAGGAAACAAATGTTACACTGTCGAAAATTGTGATCCTTGCAATCAAATCTGTTGTCAAAATCTCCTTTGATGTATCGACTGCATGTTTTGTGGTTAAAACTTTCGCTGGAATCTTAAGATGTACAACGTATAGATATCTCAACAGCTTTCAATTGACTAAGTTAATTAAAGTCCAGTTTTCCAATAATTCTTGAATCAAGGATACCCTTGACTTCCCTGAAAGATCAATCTTTTCCAGCATGACGCTGCAGTAGTGAAGTTTTTGCACCACGATACTGAAAATAAGCAAATGAACACAGAAGAGTTTAATTTTCAACATGAAGACTAGCAAATTCAGCCTAGCTAGCTTTTGGTCGATAAGGTAACACAGGTCACGCTTCAAAACAAGCGTGGCCTTTAGTCAATGAAAGACAATGCTTTTTGCAAATCGTAGAGAGCCATTTCTGTTGTCAAAAGCTCCTTCCAACTCATTCACTGCATGATTTGTGGTTAGCCTTTCCCTTGATTAATCTTGAACACAGAAGCCATCGATATTAATTCAACACTTTCAGGATCATGTTAAAGTCCAGTTTTCACATTATTCTTGAATCAAGGACACCCCTGACTTCCTTTTTTCCCAACATATGAAAATTAGCCCGTTAAATTATATACATGTGATAACGCCAACTACTATTTCAAAAAAAATGGCTTTTCTTCGTCAATCTATTTGTTTGCTCAAAAGTTATCATATACCTTATGAGTGTAAGCAATATAAATAAATCACGGAAAAATCATAGCAAACCGTAATAATCCATTAGACCAAATGAAAGACGCGCAAATAAGTACTCAGCGTTAGGAAGAGAGACATTAAAAGCTTTTATTGATAGTATTGCTTTGGTCTCCCTCTCCATGAAGAGGTTCATAGCCTTACAATGATGTTCCACTTTCCCATAATATGTGTATCGTTATATCTTTCTCTCTCTCTCTTGAATAGTAAATAAGAAGAAGCCCCTTTTCTAGGGTTTCCTCTCTTGGTATTTATGGCTGTGAGCTTCGTGAGCTGGCAATAAGTGGTCGTGACCGCGTTGGGGTTTCGCCTTCATGATGACGGACGGGCCGCGGCCTTGTTGATCGAATCAGATAAGGGTTGAATACCGCTAATTCTGAGTGGTCATACCACTAATCAATCATGAATTAGCATAAGACGGGATTAACTTCGTTAATTATCGTGGGATCGGATTCTGACACATACAGTTAGTCCCTCCGCTTATTGAGGTCGTGCCTTGGCCGAGCTCGATGAGTGGATTTCATCGACTGTAGTTTGAGAAACTCGGATAGGGAGGTCGACTGTCGCTTCGGTCGAGGCCGAATTCTCTTTGGCGATGGCCCTTAGCCTTGTAGAGTGTCAGTGTTTTGTTATTGTGTTATCAAGTTGCCGTTCGATCGAGGTTGGACTCTCCTCCTTGGCGAAGGCACTTGACCCCTTAACTTAATTCGAGTGAGGTCGAGCTTAGTTGTGCTCTGATCCTTACGTTTGTTTGGGAGCATACCCGTCAACCATGGCGGACGGGTCGTATGTTGTGCGGCCGAGGGGAGTAAGGGCACGCTTGATACGTGTTTGGCAACGTTCAAAATTTTGAGGGCGCACGGAACATCTCCTTAGCGTTCATAGGTCGTTACAACCGTTTCGAGGGCGAGACACCGGTTGGTGACTGAAAAGCGGCTTCACGGAGCCTGTCATAATGACGCACGTTTCTGTAGAATCGAACCGGTGTGCGGTTGGTCATGTAGTTAATGGTGGCTGTTGGGGTTCATGAAAGCTACTTGTTTTGCCTATAAACTGGATGATGAAGTCGACCCTCGCCCTTTCGAGCACTTCTTCTACATCAGGACTGAACATTTAGTGGCGTGCTCTACTGGGTTCCCAGAGGCTTGGAATCATGACGTAAGTTCCTTAATCGTCGAACTCCCTTTTCTGCCCCTCCTTACGTCTTGTGCTCATAAACGTTAACTCGTATCAATTTTGTAGCCGAAAAGATGCCGCCGGCTCCGTTGGCTGGGATTCGTGAGTGGGTTGAGGCCGTGCTCCCCCATACGGTGGGGATACGCACATGGGCGTCTTTCTGGGAGAGGCATGGCCGTAGGCCTGTGGCAGGTAAAAAATTGATTTCTTCTTCTGTTACGCTTTGTTTCAACTCTATTAATCAACTTTGTTTTTCTGTGATCAGGGAGGGCATGCCGTGTCAGGGCCCCTCATTTGGCCTTCCGTCGGCCGGGTGCAATTGCTCGACTTACTGCAGCGCCGGTGTCGCGCCCAATACCGAGGGCGGCATCAGTTGAATCTTCAGCGGTTCCTTCTCCAGCACAGGCCGCACTTCGGGACGAGGGGCCATCGAGGGTTGTGCGCCCTAGAGCGGAATCGCCATCAGATGGGGAGGAGGAGAGGCCATTGATAAGGCGTAGGGTCGTGTTCACGCCGGCTCCTCCTATGGTAATTAATTTGGACTCCCCCCTGACGGATGCGGAGAGGAGTGCGGTTGCGGCGCCTGCCCTTGAGGGCGGACAAACAATGGGGGTTGCTCCGGTTGGCATAGGCCATGATGATACCGTCGCTTTGGCGACTCGGTTGGAGGTTCCAGTCGCTGAGACGGGAGGTAGTTCCTCAGCGGCTGCTAATGTTGGTGAGTTAAGCGCTCCTTCGGTGGTTACGGCGGGTGGTTCCACCTCGCTGGTGACGGAAGGAGGAAGGGATGCTGTAGGAGATGAGTACGAGTTCGAATCCAACTTGGACCCCGACGACGTCTGTATGTTCCAGGAAGGCTTCACCAATTCAGCGGTGTGCGGAGAGGGGCGATGTCGCGTCATCGAGGTTACCACGGAGTTGAACTTATTGCTCCAAGGGGAAAGCTTGGTGCCGCAGTTCGAGCTGCTATGCTCGGAGGCCGAGAATGCATCGTTGAGGGACGTTACGGATATCGGACTGATGAATGAAGTAGCTGTGATGGGCTTGAGGGTGTGTAATATGACGTTGGTTCACTTCTTCTTCGTCTTAGTTTGTTCTTTAACTTAATCGTTGTCTTTGCTTTGCAGTCTTACTTGTTGGAGGTGGAGAGCATCCGTCGAGCCAACGTCCGCTCGGGGATATTT